CATTCCCCTTCACTTCACCATCGCCGCTCTCCCTCGCCCTCTCGCCATCCGCCGTGCACACGTACGCACGAACATGCACACTAATCCTACTGCGAATTACCACGTAGCTCGTAATCGCGGAACACGCACAGGGGAGTAGGGGTTGAGCCAGGGGCGACTCGTCAGTTACCTGACTTATCGGTAATGCACTTTAATTTCCATTGCTGGCGCTGCATAAAGTTGCGGCGGAATTCGACAAATCGAGCCAGTCTTAACGGTTTTTTCTTTCGCTCCTTTTATCGACCAACGAACCTGCCTCCCTTACTCCATTGCTAAACCATCAATCCCCCATCCGCCCCACCCCCCGACCTCTCCCAAAAACAATATCCACTTTACCCCCTTCGCCCCCTCCTCGCCTATACGTACCTATCGTCCACGTCACCCAACCCTTTTTGAGCTCGCTCGTTTCTCCCCTCGGCCCCACCCTTTGGCAGTGCCACTATACCTATCCATTGCGCCAATTTATTCTATTTTAAGTACCTGCTGCTTAAATCTTACACATCCTGACCCGCAGTGCCTTTCTTCTTATTAGCTTTAGTTGTAGCGATCGGTTCACTCGAGTCCATCGACGCTATATTTCGCGCGTATTGGCGCTATTGCGAGAAACTCCCAAAGTTTGCCCTCCCTGCCCCGCCTTTCCCAAGAATATTATTCACCATCCAGGCCTACCGATGAATATCAATATTAACGGGGACGTCCACCTAAATAGGAAATTATTTTTTTCACAACGCTAATAATAATTGCAATGGAGACAATCGTTCTGGATCATCAGGCTTGTTTTCGCACATTGTCGTCGGCTGTTGTAATTCGCTTCGCTTGGATGCGCGACGGAGGAGAGAGTAATAAGAACTTACGTTACCAGTGCTTTCGTTAAATGATAAATAATGCATCGCGGCGTTATTAGTCGTAAGTATTGTTTCTCTCTCTCTCTCTCTCTCTCTCTCTCTCTCTCTCTCTCTATATATATATATATATATATATATATATCACTCTCTCACACACACACACCCTCTCTCTCTCTCTCTCTCTCTCTCTCCCTCCCTCTCTCTCTCTCTCGTGCGAGCGGTAGCCATTCGGCGAAACATTCCTATGCGTGACAGTTATTTTTTCGAAATGCGTAATTGCCATTTTCGTTTGCACGATCAGGTTATAACCTTTAAAGAGCGATTCCTCCTCCTTCGTGTTTTTGTTTATCGGCTTTTTCCCCGATCTCCTCGACACATCTACGCCTACGGCGAAACTATTACTCCGGCATTTAATCATTGCTAATATTCAAACGGCGAACCTAACGTTGGAATATTTTCAGCTTATATTCGTAAGGCGAAAGCAGCGTTTATAATTGGATGAAACTGTGATCCGTCCATGCCCACTTAACTCACTACGCCCGTATTTTTATAAAGTATTAATTCGTTCGCGGGCGTCTGCAGGTATTCGCAGGCCAATTATTACCCTGCCGCCACTACGCAGAAGGCGACATGAATTTTATTAGCATGTTTTACTTAAGAATGCTAGGCGTATGTATAAAAAAAAAAAAAAAAAAAGAGGGACGACAGTTCCCGCTCGCCTTGGAGAACGATTTCTTTTTTCTTTTTTTTCTTTTCATTTTTTTTTTCTTTTTTCTTTTATCACAAGCATTGCAGCTCAGAATGATGCAACTGGTTTTTTTCGTCCCGAGTATTTGAGCGTTAGGTTGGTCTCGTCGATTGGCAGTGAAAAAGCAAAAGAGTAAAGGTTCTGAAAACCGCTCATCCCCCTATTCGTGGAAGTACGCGCACAGGCATGCACGCACACGCGCACGCACACAACCCTCATTGTCATCGCCTTCCCACCCACTTTAGCTGTCGCTCGGGTGAGTGTGGTCAGTCTATCGAGTTAGTTTCCACGAACTTGGTACGCTAAACACGCGTGCACACACATTGGTAAACGGGAAATGAGGTTATGGGCGACCTTGGTGGGACTTTTGGTAGTTTGGTAGAGTTTTGGTAGCGTGCGCTCGATGACCCGTGCCGCGTTATTTATTGCCCTTCTTATCGCTTTTGGAGCACGCGGTAAAGTATTTTTCTCCTTAGTTGAATATCGTTGATGCGCATACACGTTATCATGAAAAAACGAAGATGTCGCTACGCTCCCGTGGGCTTATTTTTACTTTTACTCCGTTGTTTATAAGCGCTGTCGAGTCGATTAGTGAAGCGGTGGAAGACGGGCCTCGATTTTGTGATGGTGGACACTACCACCGCCATCGCCAATTTAATTCGACAGAGAAAAAATGAGGGCGGGATGGCTGAAGTGGGCTGGTTGGTAAGCTCATTGTGATCCCAATCAATACAACGAGACCTGTTTGTCCATTGTAATTGTCGCGCATCTTCATCCTTTTGCCGAAAGGAATGCAACGTAGAGTGCGCGAACGTCGGTCGCGAGACATTGTGAATTTTTATGCTTTCAAAAGGCACATAAATTGGCTCCGTTTACGGAACATTTCATTCGCTTAATGGTGCGGCGCGACATTATAACAACGAAGACTCCTCTAGCACATTGTTTACGGATCGAGCGAGAGCAAAGAAATAAGAAGCTCGACTGGTAAAAAAAAAGAAATAAAATAAATTAAAAAAAAAAAAATTGCGAGTCCGGGGGGTCTTTAGGCGCAAAAACTAGCACCGCCGAGGAGGCGCGGTGCCCGTCACCGGCTGCGAACGTAAAGATCTAAGGATAATCAGAACGTAGCCGAGAATAAATAAAGTTCGATTAAGCATTCGACACGAGATTGGCGATCGAACGGAGGGGCATTAAGAGCGGCTACTCGGCGAAGATCCCCGGCACTCGGCGATGCCTCGATAAGTTAATCGGACGAGCGTCGTCGTCATCCTTCGTAGACGACGCGGCCAACTTACATACGCACGACTATTCATTATCGCCCTGTTTCATTACAGAGACGCGCGTCATCCCTGGAGAACCAACAGCCCCCCCCCCCCCCCAATCCTCGTCAGCGTAGTCCGCCAAACAACGGATCATCCCGTCGACAGTCTTGCTAAGGAGAGCGCATCCATCGCCCTCGATCCCCTAACCTCCCGCTCTCCTTCCACTAAACTCCACATCACTCTACTCCACTCTACTCCACTCCACTCCACTCCACCCCACTCCACCCCACTCCAATCAACTCTACTACACTCCACTCCACTCCACTCCCACCCTCGTCGACAGCAGCCCCCTTCACGATCGCACCGGGCGAGCGGAATTTCTCCGGGCCAGAGCCAACGAGACCGCTCGCCCTTATCTCGGCGTTCGCTCTCCTTCTCGGGAACCCCTTGCCGTTCCCCTCGGACAAATGATAAAGGCGAGCGAGCAGCGAGTCGCGCACGGCTCTCGTTTCCGCTGAGCTTGACGCACCGGGCAACCGAGCGAGAGCATGAGAACACGCAGAGCGCGTTTAAGAGAGACAGAGAGAGAGAGAGAGAGAGAGAGAGAGAGAGAGAGATAGTGTGCGAATGACAGAAGTGCCAACGGGCTTTGTTTATTTAGTTAAATACCAGCGCGCCGACTAATCTCAACTCCGGCTGGCTTACCCCTCGTACATTGGTCCCTATATTCCTGATGTATGGCACCGAGATAGGAACGCGGGAGTAGAGAGAGAGAGAGAGAGAGAGAGAGAGAGAGAGAGAAAGAGTGAGAGAGTTTGCTCTGTTGGGACGCGCGTTGGTGAAGGGAGCTGGGGGAACGAGGAGAGCGGCAGCAGGCTTATTGCCATTACTGTTGCGGCTGCTGCTGCTGCTGCGCACATGTGACGATGTCTCTGTGCCTTGTGCCCGATGTGGCCTGGACAATTTCCGAGCCTCGCGATTCTCGGAAAGTTCGAGCTCTTTTTTCGCTTTCGCATGGAATCCGCGTGGCTGAGCGGAGCACCAGCCACTGCTACGTAAGAATTATCCTTCCCTGTCATATCCGAACGCATCTCTTATCGGCTTCGCCTCCTTCCCCCTACTAGCTCTGCCCTTTCTCGTCCCCTAATCCGTTAAGCGCGCAGCACGTTGAAACAAAACGAAAAACCACAAAACCAATAGCAAATGAAAAAACAAAATTTTAAAGTTCGTTTTAAATATCCGTCGTTTCGTCGGCGTCGCTCGTTCGCGCGCAGTGCCATGCGACGCCTTTATCGCTCAACAATTAAAGCGGACTTTTATATTTTTTAAATCACCCTACTACAATACCACACTATTATATTGCGCCTGGTAATCTTAAACCTATTGGTGTTGATTAGGTGGATTTAAATTACTAAATAAATAAATAATTCGAGCCGAAAAAGGAATTAAATAAGTGAAAATAGCCAAATCGCTAATTTGTCAATGACTCGACAAAACGTTTTAACGAACCGTAATGTTTATATAAGCGTTGCACCTATCAGCGATATTTCACAAATCAAATTTACGTTTTTAATTACCCAGCACCGAAAAGTTAAAACTCTAGTTTTGCGTTAACTCCATTACCTTTCTTACCTACTTCTCTCTCTCTCTCTCTCTCTCTCACACACACACACACACACACACACACACACTCATTCACTCTTATACTCCCGTTCCTATCTCGGTACCATACATCTTTCTTTTTATTTTCTTTACTTTTAGCA